TGAAGGTCACTGTAGTACTTATAAACTGATTCAACCTCATGCAGTTAAGTGTGGGCACAATTGAGCTGGTTTCTGAACCATTTCAAGTTGAACTGGCTTGTATGTAGACTGGACTTAATTTTTGTGATTTTTTGGTAAATTTCAAATTTGTAGTTTTTGTGATTGTTGTAATTTTTATTTAAAAATTAATTATTAATCATAAACACTTTTTAAAATTTACTATACCATATAGTGGGTTAGTCTCGCCACGATCCGCAGGTAGCGAAGGGGCGGGGCGAGACTAATAGCGGGTATATTCCATTCAAGTTTAATTTCATTCTTTTCGTTCTCATTCCTTGTGGAATGAACATTTTCCAAACAAAAAGGGTGTTTCCTCAATGCCAATTGTGCAAAATGGCTGCTCAGAACGAAAATAAACGAACGAAAACAAACATTTTTCCAGACAAAGTATGCCCACAATACGGAATTACGAGTAAAATTACTCTTAACTATATCACATACAAATTGTAGATGACTCAACAGTTTTAAAAGTAACACAGAATTAAGTCTTAAACTTAACAATTCTTTAATTTAGTGTATTACATACAAATTGTAGATACAATTGTAATTGTATCTGGCCTTCACCAATAACAAAAATTAAAAGCTATAGCATCTTCATTTACTTAGCAAAACCTGATACAACGGAATGGGCAATTTTTAACAGGAGAACCTCCTGAAGAACTTGATGGTAATTGAATTATGAATTATGAATCTGATTGGTCCATTACAACTAGGCAAAGTATGCCACTATAAGCTACACACTATCAATATAGTCCATTAATTATTTACTGTATCTCTACAGGACACTTTATTAATTAATTACTTGAGGTATTTGATGGTTCTTTAGTTTGATGTGATTCCACAGTTATCATTAGTCTATCCAACTGTTCCTTTATCTCTTGATGGATAACCTGTTGATCCTCTTCTCTTTTATCTAGTGTCTGTTCACTGGATATTTCATGGTCCAGTTTCAATGTATCTCTTTTATAATCTATCAGTGACACTGTACATTACTAATAAATTATTAATAAATTGTACCTTTTATTTCCTGCATTAATTCTTCATTCTCTTCTCTTTTATTTAGTATATGTACACTCATTACTGATATCTGTTCTTGTA